GCAAGAATCCTGATTGTCCTGATGTAAGGGCCTAAACCTGCAGTTTATTTTGACTAGCAGGGCACGAGGCGAAGTAATACCAAAACCGAATGAGGTAAACAGCACAACGCTACAGGAGTCGTGGGCCAGCGAAAACTTTTTTGAGCCGTGGGCGTCTATCGCCAAAAGGGGCGTGGACCACCATGAGTTACAAGCTTTTTGACTACGTTTTTTCTAGTCACGAATGAGTTTCAGTTCCTCCAGTCGTGGACATAGGTGACCTCATATCTGCACGGAATAGTTTAGTCAGCCATTCCTGAGCTCAAACTCCAACAGCTACATGGTGATGGAAAAGGAATATCGGTTCAAGGCCCATTTCGGCTTCGCAGGGGCATTTTGCTGGCTCCTACCGATCGTTGCGGATGCCTCAAGCGATGACATGTAAAGTCCTGTAGAGCTGCACGACGGTTTGAGTTTTGTTTACACTCTATAAGGGTCTACTGGTCTCACCAACGTGCTTGTGTAATGTAACAGGATGAGGTGAAAGAAACTAGTGAATAGTAGAGGTGCACCCCTAAGCCTAAGTCCGTCTCGACACAAAGATTTTGCGCACAGTTCTTGCGCAACGTGTTCCCTTAAAATACTTGTTCACAGTCCCTCCTTCGCAGCCCCGCTAAGCTTCTGAAGTACTTCTTTACTTTCCTCTTTCCAACTTTTTCTCCACTTGTTACTGCACGACTGTTTGTACACATATAGGGTTTCACCAACACGCTGTATGATCGAGTGCTCCTAAACAAGTAACCACGTCCCCCCTATCCACGGATGATTTTGGAACTTGAGAGCTGTACGTGGTATAGGGGCACCTTACCTCGTGCGTTACCCTCATCAGTTCTACTTCTGGGCAGCTGAATCAGGGCACATCTTCGTCGCAGAAATCACAACGAGGGACGTATTCTGCACTATTTACCCTTTACTGCCCCAGTCATCGGGAATCGAGCAGTTCAAGATCGACTTTTTTCTCCATGGACAGATTTGGCTCGAATGTTGTATCCTTGGGTAGTTTAACCTCCTGTATACGAACATCACATTCGCTTGGTCAAAACCTCGTGGCGCCCTCGCAACAGGCGCGGGTGATTCGGGATATTGTGAGGCTAGAAGATTTCGCACCGAGCGGATCTGATATTCGTGTTCAGGTGATCAAACTACCCCTGGAGGCATGTTTTCAGCGAATCTGGTGTTTTAAGGTATTTTGGCGCCGGTTCCTGTGCCGGGGTGGCAGGTTTTGCAGAGATGTGTA